TCATTTCAAGTTTAAACACATTTCACCAAGAAAAACTTACACATGGTGATCTTCACAGTGGTAATATTTTATATTTTAATTATTTATCCCAGGCAATGATTACAGATTTAGGGTTATCAGGCTCAGCTGATCAAGAAACATCAAATGAAAGTAAAAACTATATATTTGGAGTACTACCATATGTTGCACCAGAGGTATTAAATAAGAAACCTTATACACAAAAATCAGACATTTATAGCTTTGGGATTTTAATGTCAGAAACATCAACACATCAACAGCCATTCAAAGATCAACCACATGATCTAGATCTTGCACTGAAGATTTGTGGTGGCTTAAGGCCTAGTTTTTCAGATAACACTCCAGAATGTTATATCAGGTTAGCATACAAATGCATGGATACTGATCCTAAAAAAAGACCAACATCAGATGAAATTTTAAAAATTATTGCTTTTTGGAAAGATGCAGTTGGCACAATTGGTATCAATGAAATCCTAAAACACAAACTTAATTATTATAAATTAAAAGAAATAAGAAAAATATTTGAGGAAGAAGATCAAAAACCTTTCAACCCTTCAACAATTACAGCAACTGCTCATTCAAATGCAGTTTATACAAGTAGATTATTGAATTTTACAAATCTTTCTCAACCTGTAAATTCCAATAAAGTTACAATCATTAGTAACAATAATGGTAATAATTTAATTTATTGCTATATTTTATTCTTAATTATTTATCATTAATGATATTTTAAATTAAACTAAAATTAACTATTTCAGATTCTAAACAAATTGAATTAGATTTGTGAATAAATTTAATTTATGTGGTCTGATTATTGAAAATTTCATCTAGTCCCTTAGGAAGTGCTACATGGTGAACCAAACACCTTTTATTATTATTGAAAATTTTTTAACAATTAATCATATGTTTTAAATTAAATCTTCTTTGTGATCAAAGTTACCATCATTTTTATTGTAGAATTTTTATATTCAAGTATTTACATACATTGTTTAACATTTTATTTATATCTCATTTTGTATTTTATCATCCATCTATAAACATAAAAATGCTTACAATAATAAAAAAACAAGAATTTTATCTTAGATAAACTTGTTATTAATATGTTTGTTGATGTATTGTGAGATTATACCAGCATAGATAAAAATCCTATCATTGGATAGATTGGTCACGCACATTTAATAGAGACGATCGACAATTATATGTGAAGAGTATTGTAAAATCGAAAAAGTGTCACTTAGAAAAGTGGCACGCCCCATATTAAATAATGCCACCTCAAACTTTGCACAAATGTTATATTACTATTGTTTATTTCTGATCCATTAATAACTTTTCCTGATCCATGCTGAGTTTTGACTTTTATTAATAATGCCGTTTGCTCTAAATTTCGCTTTATTACATTCATAACATCCAAATTTATCAATGATCTACATTTAATTTTCTTTGAACGGAATCCAAAAATTTCATGTGAAATATACACTTGCCAATTCAGCATATTATGACATTATATTTCCATTGAGTTATAGAATAACCAAAGTTTTAACTATTCTCTATATTATTTTATGTTATTTTAGTTTTTTTACTGATTAACAATTAATAGACAAAAGATTATTTAATTTTTTTTGCAGGAAATGGTTTTTGTATGAGAATTCTTTTTACCAGTCCCCAGTTTAAAATAAGAAGAGAGAATATTGAATAATAAATAAAATTGAACTATTATACATTTTTCTCGAGTAAATGTTAATTTTTTTGGAAACACATGTGATTTTTAATTTCAATTTTCGTTGGTCAATCTCACTTGATTTTTGTAATGCCATAACAGTCAATGATAGGATTTTTATCTATGCTAAAAGGGTTCCCAACTAATAATTAAAGGTTGGCCAGACCATTAACCATTAGAAGGGCTGGAGGGGGGGTCAACCACACTGGGTTTATTAGTTACTTACAGTCAAAGACTATGTTATGTAAGGTTATATATTTATTAAG